AACAGTCATCTTCACTCCCCAACCACGTCCTCTCCATAATTTCATGGGTAAGTGGAACACTGTTCCACCAAGGGCCTAAGATGGGACCACGTCACATTCGGATTAATGAAGAAATAGTGGACCCCCTGTATGAATAACCTAAGACTTGACAGTGTTCATAAGAGGTTCCAAGCACACCCAAAATCTGGACTGGTTTTATGAGTAGGCACCTGCATTGGTTGGTCCTGCTCCTACTGACATCTGGGAAAAACTTCCAGGGACCCAGGCAGGAGTGTCCCCAACTCTTTGCCCTCTTCTTAGAGAGTGGAGAAAACTCAACAATAACCACAATCCACAAGTTTTAAAAGAAAACCAATCTCAACTGATGCAGCTCAAGATCAGGAAGGACTGGCAAAATCCCCTTTAGCTTTACACATGATAGTCCATGAGTAGCAGTCCATTGGAGTTGTAGTGTAATATAATAGTACCATCCAGAATCGCATCTAGATGATTTCATGGAACACCTCATCTCGACAGAACCTGTTGCAACCATGAACTGATATAAAGGTTGCTAGTGTGGATTTGAAAAATACAAGCACACCTGACTAGGTAACACTCATCACTGAGTGGGATCCAAAAGAAATAAAGAGGGACCCTGGAAGAAAAATTAGAACAACCATAAAGCAGGTAAGAAAGTTACCCACCTCCCTGTTAAAATCTAGCAGAGGTAGTTAACACAGCCACAGGTGGAAAGCAAAATCCCATGGAAGAGGAAACTGCCAAGGTAATGAGATAAGATGTGTTGGGAAAAGACCACATACTGGTCCATAAAATGTCCTTCAGAGAACAGTTCAGATGAGCAGCCAACAGCATTTACAGATGCTGAATCTGGCGAGAAGTGACGTGCAGCATATTACAATCATCAATAGATAACCCCAATTCCTAGTGCCCTTGAATGGTTTGGTAGTAGCCACATGAAATCTAAGTGCTCTGAATGGACACAACAAATGATCTGGGTCTGAATGACTGTAAAAATGAGAAATGCCAGGTTAATAAATAGGAGAAAAGGATTTATTCCCTTCTCTGGCAGCAAGTTTTTGATAGAAAGGATCTGTCTGGACAGAGCAAAACATAGGTGGAATGATAGATAGTCCACTGAACATGGATAGCAAATAAATCAGAAAGGCGGCATATGTGAAGCTAACAAAAATTAAAAATATCTTGAGGAAAACGTGATACAATGAACAGGATGCCATAGGATCGAAAGGATGATGTGATAATGCCTGTCAAACAACAAGCCCAATTAAGAAAATTGAAAAGGTCATTTTTGTCAAAGAATACAAAAGGATCATAAGGGATGAGATAGCACAGGAGAGTCAAAAATCTTCCTATACTTAGAATATCAAAAGATAGCAGCTAAAGATGCTTTATAGAAAGCAACGGTAGAAGAAGGCAAACCTCTCCCAAAAATCTATGTCAAAAAACGTGAGACTATAGAGATTGTTGGATGAAGTGGGTTGAAGGCTCTCCAAAGACATCACTGACGATATATAGTCCATTTCCGTTGATAGATTGCCATAGTAAGCTAACGGAGGGATTTATTCAAATAAATGGAAACTTAAGAAGTTAAACCCTTATGTCAGGCAAAGGACCGCATAACTTCCATGCATGAAGCTTGAACATCCAGGTGTTGAATGTTGGACTGAGGTTGTCTCAACAATGGTGGGCAAAGAGGTAGAGGTGGACATTCCTGGAGCAACTGAAGAAGAGGAAACCATGTCTGAGCAGGCCAAAAAGGTGCTATCAAGAGAACCTGACATTGGTTGGAACGAATCATAGACAAGACTCCGGATAAGAGACGAATAGGAGGAAAGGCATACAAATGTAATTCCATCCAGTCTTGACTGAAAGAATCTATCGCCAGAGCTTGTGGATGCAGAATTGGAGACCAGAACAACTGTAGGCGAGCATTCCAATGGGTTGCAATAGCGTCAATCATCGGAGACTCAAACTGAGAACAAATCCATTAAAGGGTCCTCCTGATGTAACATCCATTCTGTTGTAAGAATCTAATGGAATCGGGAAAGATGATCTGCTATAAAATTCGTATCCCCTGATACATGACAAACCAAAAAGATGGATGTCATGGGAATGAGCCCAATAAAGAAGATCCAAAGTCCAAAAAAAAAGATCTTGAAAATGGGTACCTCCCTGACGTGAATGATACCACTGTGGAGTTGTCTAAATGGATCATGAAAATTTTGCCGTGCAAAACAGGGAGACCTTGAATCATCACTTGGCATACCGCAAGAAGTTTGAGAATGTAGAAAAGCAGGGTAGATTCATAGTCTGTCCATATATCCTGGAATTCCTGCCCCCCCGAAGAAAAGCACCCCATCCGTGAAGAGATGGATTTCCGAACAAGGAGGTGGTATTGGGACTCTGATAGTTCCTGTCTAGCCACCACTTGAGATCTGCAAAATTGTTCTCGAGCAAAGAGACTGTTTGATCCAAACTCATATGGGTTGAACCCAATGCCATGAAGGATTCTAGGTAGTCCAAATCCCCAAAACAGACAGAACTATCCGTGCAGTAGGAGAAGGTGACGTAAACAAATGCCTGACAATCCCTTCCATATTGTGAAGTCTGAGGGGAGATGGTTGAGCCTGACTCAATTGTGTGTTGAAAAACACCCCAAGATGCACCAGGTATTGAATGGGTGAGAGAATGAATTTTTCAACCTGATAATGAAGCCCACCCTTCTGGGTTTGGAAGGAGAATCTGGGTATTGGGTTCAGCAACATGACGGGTTGGTGCCAAGAGAAGCCAATCATCCATATAGTGATGTGTGCACAGAACCAGAAAATGGAGATGCCACACAAAGGCTTGTACTACTCAGCAGAGAACATATGGTGCTGAAGCAAATTTAACGGGAGAGCTCGGAACTGCAACACCTAGTCCTCGTGCACAAAACATAGAAATTGGCAAGAATGGGGATGTAAAGGTAGGCACCTGTAATATCAAACTTGGTTATCCAAAGACCTGGTGTGAAGTGCTATCAAAGTTGAAGAAAAGATTCCATGGTGAAAGGAGGAGGCTGTAGGAAGTGATTGAGTAGAGAAAGATTGATGATAGGATGCCAATCTCCAGTTTTCTTGGGTACCAGAAATAGACAAGAATAGAATCCTGGATTAATGGAATTCACATTCTTGATGGCTCATTTGTTGAACAACCCTCTGAATGGCCCAGAGCAAAGGTCTGCACGTCTATGAGGTCTGAAGGAGGAGAAAAGACAACCGGATGAGAGGACAAAAAAGGGGAGAAGTAAACTGAATCTTGAACCCCGATTCCAGCACTCTGAGAACCCAAGGATTGATGGTGAATGAATGCCAAATGTAACCATCCTCACACAGGACCTGGTGAAGATGGGTAGTCACCAATGCTGTTGTCCCAACCCGTCTGAAGATCTCTGAGGCAATAGGACGAGGCGTCAAAGGTGGGGGCTGTGAAACACGAATGGTCATTCTTTCAGAATAACCCATTGGAGTAGAAGAGAGGAGAGCAGCCAATGACGATAAAGAAGACTGCAAACGTACTGTTTCAATTTGAGCTTTTAAAGTTTTAGGGACTCCGGCAAACAAGTAAGGCTGAAGAAAGGGTGTCTTCCATAAATCACAAAAAGCAGAGGACAGCAAACAAATACCCTCCAACAAGACATCTTGACTCAATAAGTCCCAGCAACAGATCAACCATGACACCAACGCAAGGCCTGAAGAGGACAAACGAGCCATTGTGGTAACCAGTAAGAGTCCCAGTTCATTGTCAAATTGATAAGGAGAGCATTGATATGCTTCAGACAAAAGATGAAGGGAAGAGAAGAATCACAATACAGTAGTAAGAGTCAAACATATCCACAAAAATTGAGATCTGTTAAGACTGATAACAGGTTCGATTCTGGAACCCCATATATATCCAACAACAGATCCAACTGTTGAGTGTCTAGACATACATCATTGTGATGATGATAAGCCAGGGCATGTTGTTCAAATAAAGGAGGGGGGCAAGGCATAGTGATACCCCTCTCATAATTGCATTGCAAACCTCCCTGCATGCAAGGCAATATCAAGGGAAGGAGGAAGAACTAAGTAATTCCCCAAGATCTATCTGACAACAATGGCAGGGGTAGACTCGAAAGCAACAAGGTTTATCCCAAAACTTCACAAACTCGCATAACTAACTGCAGAAAATGAACAGAGGGTGGCTGATCAGATGATCCCTCAGTAGTCAGTCCTAGTGAAAAAAGAAGCAGTAAACAGTGTCTAAATTCTCCCCAGTATATTCAGGTTCACGAACAAAAACCAATGAACCCTGTGGCGAAAGACCCTGGGCCGCATGAAAGACTCTTCCGAATCAGGTCGCAGACATCCTCCATCGAGATTGTGATTGTACCCCCCCCCCCCAATTCAAGGAGAGAAAATTACAGTATATTAAATCATGATTTCATAAAACAGTACTCTGTATATCATGGTATTGGTGCATTTTAAATCCACGCAAAAAGATGAACTGATTTTTTTTTTTGTGTGATTCATACAATTTGAACTCATTCCATAGCCTTTCAACATTTTGTAATGTGATATAAGATTAAAAACAGCAATCTATTAAAAGAGTCTCATTGGGCAGTATGAACCTAAGCCCTATTTTAATCAGGACCATACATGCCAACGATTTTTAGGAACTTTCTTACTGTAACACTTTTGTTAAAAAAAAAAAAATGCTAACTTGTTACCAGCATTTATTATATGAGAAATTATCACAAGGACAATAGATGAACTTTAAGTATCACTATGCTTTTTTAAAACTTGCACAGACACTCAATGTATATGAATACAAGTGCTTAAGAAAGAGGATTTTACAACAATCATCAATGAGATATAAACCTATCTAAGAAATAAAATTTTTGGTGTCATAAATGTGCGTGTATCTTATTACTTTGTCAAGGCATTTACTACGACTGTACATACCTCAGGTGAAGCCAATTTGTTAACTGATGCAAGATGTCCTTTTGCCTTTGGTCTGAAAGTACGAATCAACGGAGGTGGAGGGTTTTCTTGAATATACTGAAATTTAAAGCATTTATAGCTATTTACAAATATGATAAATCATCAGAAACATCCAATCTTAACTTAAGGTAGTTTGGAAAGAGGATTACGTTAATTCATGAATTGACAATAAATATTAATAATTTAATAATTATAGTATATAAAACAGGATAATCAAAATTATCTTTCATAATATAAACTTAACTCATTAATGCACATGTAAAAAATTGATAATTGTCAGCATTCTTATTTATGCATTACTTCAAGAATCAAAACAAAACAAAATGAAGAGATTGAACAACACAAATTTGCTATTAATATTAATTTCAAATTAAGATTCACCTGAGCAACAGGGCTGATAACATTTATGTGTTTCTTAGGAGTTCTTTTAGAGGGCTGTTTCTTTGTTTGAAGGTTTTTCTTGCATGCTGACGTCAGTGGTTTTCTGAAAATGTATTTTCCTGTAGGGGAACTAAAAGCAGCACAAGACTTCACTTGTAGAGTCTTAGTAGGTGCAGGAAAAATCCTTTGTACAGGAGAATCTAACAATTTTGGGGAGTTCATTTTTACTTGAGTGGATTTATTGGGTTTGTTCTTTATTTGCTGATAAGATGAACATTTAGATTGTTGATTAGACTCTTCTCTAGAACTGCCTGATGGTGCCAAATAATTTTTTGAAGAAATATCAATAAAAAGAGTTCTTTTCACAGTTTCAGTTCCAGAAGGAGAACAATGAGACTCTTTAATATTTTGAATTTCGTTATTAGAAGCTAAATCTATATGGTATTTGTTTTGTTCTTGAATAATTAACTCACTGATTTTATCTTTACCTCGTCTTTGGGTACACTCTTTAGAAATTGGAGAATACTGTTGATTGTTTGGAATGTTTTCTTTTAAGCTTTGTACAGTATTTTCTAAAAATTGGCTGTCTGAAGGAAGACATTTACCATCTGAACTGTCTAAAAAGCTTTTCTTGTTTTGTTCTTTCCTATGTAATGTTGCTGCTATATGCTGTAACAAGCTGGGACGAAGGTCTGACTTGCGTAAGGCTGCCCAGGGTCCTTTGTCAAGAGGAAAAAACAAAAATGATGTTTGACAGTCTTTTTCATTATCCACTACTTCTGTTTCTTTTTCAGGTGATAAAGTAATCTTTATTTCATTTTTATCTGATTTTGCATTTATGTTATTCTCATCCTTATTTGGTATTTCATTTTCTTGAATATTAATATCTGTTGCAGTATCATTTATTTTTCTCTTTTCTGTTGTAAATCCAGCTTGTTTTCCATTATTTTCTGGAAATTCAACCGTTTCCCTATTATCTGCTTGTAAATAAATATGTTGGTCATCATGTGCTTGAAAATCAATTTCTTTCCTAACATTTGTTTGAAATTCAACTTGTTTTTCATCATTAGTTTCAAAGTCAATCCATTGTTCCTCATCCCTGTGTTTTTTACTTTCAACTTTTGTTTCAGTTACTAAGTTATTACTTTCAGATTCAGATGCATTTTCCTCTATTTTATTTTCAAATGATGTTTTATTTTGCATTTTCCATCCAATCTCAGGTTGGCATGTGGACAAAGTAAAATGGCAATTTCTCTCTTTTATATCTGACGTATTGTCAGCAGCAGATATTTTGCTGTCAACATTACACGAGTGTATGATTATTTCAGTTTCTTTGCTTAACAGCATCTTTCTATTTACAAGATTTTCAATAGACCTTTTATCATCTATCTTGACTTTTTCTTTACTAGCATTACACAAGTCTTTAAAGTCTAGTTTTACTTCTACCTGTTTCCTTTGCTCACTGATCCTTTCTGCATGTGAATCTATACACACTTCATTGGAGAGAGTTTGTGGAATTATAAAAGGCAACTTATGTTCTTCAGACACACACATGGAACATTCACGTATTTCAGGAGAAAGTTTTTCATTTTCAGGGAAATGTAATACATTAGCATTATTAATACTTGCATTAATATAATGATTTTTTTTTTCATCTTTAGACCCACAATTTGGTTCTGATTTGTGGAATTCAAAACTTCTGTTTTCTGATGCACTAAGTACAGATTTATCACAAACTTGAGAGTCTTCTACACATTGTAGTTCATCTAAAATCTCATTTGTTGAAGATGTCATTGTTACAGCTGATTCAGATGATCCTAATTCACTTACTCCAGAAATGTTACTAGTTGTCAAGTCTAACGAAAGCTCTACCAACTGGCTACTAGTTTCACTTTGCAATAAATCTGTACACATACCAGAATCATCTGTTTTACTTTTAGTCCAATTTGTTAAAGACCAGTCAATATAGTTCTCATGTGTATTAATTTTTCTTGTATCACTGGAAGAGGTGAGAACACTACTAACTCCTGTAGACTTTTCATTGAAAACTTCTAATTCTTGGTTTTTTTCATCTGATGAACTAGCTTGTAAACTGTCTCCAACTTTGTAAAAACTAGGAATATCACTATTTGAATAAATGGTTACTTCTTCATCTTCTCTACTACATTGACTTTTGATATCAGTATTTTTTTCAAGTACCTCTTCAGTATGATTTAAGGAATTTCCTTCTAACATTGACTTCCTGTTTAATCTAAATCCAGAATAGAAGACTTCAGTTTTACGATGAGCATACCGGCGAATCTTTACTTTCTCCTTTTCACTAATTTCACCAAAAAATACTTCATCTTCCTCTGATGAAGACATCTGTATCTTCTTTTGAAAGCTCAGTCTAAGATAAAAATTAATGCATTGATAAATAATTATCTTTATCAGCTCATTCATACCATTCTTTCCAACAAGAAAAAGTACTTTACTTACATGGTAGCTTTTAAGTAAGTTTTATATGTGTTTCTTAGATAAGATATATTTTTAGTACAGTACAAGCAAGTTAGTCTGTTAGAAAGTTAAAATACACCTTCAAAACATGAACTTTACAGACTCAATTATTTAAAAATTAATTTTATAAAAAAAGTGTTAACATACATAAATGTTCTATAACAACATACAGAAAATTTACTACTTTAATATTAAGAAACAGAACAGGTATTTGACAAAACAGTGGTAGCTTACATGTTTAACTCTAGAAAAATTACACGTTTACAAGTTATTAAAAGCTCACTAATGCTACAAAAGAGCAATATCATAAATGGACTTACTTTATTTCTCAATAAAACAAAAATATGCAAGTGCAAGTTTCCTAAATTTCCATTTTGGGATCTTTGTGGTAAAGTAGGAAATTCTAACTATTTTAAGTTTTCTGTGTGGAAAGTCTTGGTATAAAGGAATTACACAAAAATAATACATTTATAAACTAGTAGCAATTAGTTTAAGTACTCTTTCTTGTTAAACTGCACCTACAAATGTTTTTGTTATTTTATTTGCTTAATACAAAGCTACTCAACAGTCTATTTGCACTCTATTGCAGGGAATTGTACTATAGATTTTAGTGTTGTAAGCCTGTAAACTTTCCAATTATTCACCATGGCCCAGAAATGCTAAGAAACATGATGGGAACTAACATCTATGATGCAGCATTGAAATAAATGTCGAATAAGGTTTATAAATTGCCACTTGGCTAATGTATTTTGAGCAGCAAATGCATTGTTGTAACTGTAGTGAAATTTCATATTTATTAAGAGAAAAAATTAAATGGTGATATTTTTTCTCTCATGTATTAAGTAAGATTAGAGTTAACATTGTTTAATTCTAATGGTATTGCATGCAGTTGAAATTTGAAATGTGTACAATGTTAAATGTATAAAAAGGAGCAACAGATACATTTGTTAAAAGGTTTGAATTTATAGACTGTTTGCAATGAGGGTTGAAATGATTAAGAGGTTATATAACTCTGAACTCTTTCATAATTACTTTAAGTATTTGTAGTGATGAACACAGAAAGACTAGGACTAGAGTTTTCTTGCCATCTACTTAAGTGCAGGACTTATAGTGTGCTGACAGTTTAGTTGCTGGAACAAAGAGCACTCATTTTTGTGGTGCATATAAAAGCAAATTATGTCAAAACTGTAAATCAGAGGAGCTGCTTCAAAAGTATAAACAGTGATGTATACAATAATTTTTATAGACTTGTATTCCTTATTTTGTAAATGGAATATTCCATATTAATAGAATTACAATTCACAACAATTTTTGGAATTTGGTTACAAATGCTGAAGCTCATTTTGTGCCTTGAAGAATAACTTGAGTAGGCTGTGAACGTACAAACCTTTCCCTATAATAAACAGTTGTATTCATCAAAAATTATAACAGAAGGATGAAATCGTGATTGATTTTATTTTGGTAATAGAATTATACAGAACATTTTAAAATGGGTTTCCAACAAATGTCATGACATTCCACCTGAATCTTGTAGCCAACTGAAGCTGATGGCTGGCGTTACAAGGTAGACATGGATGGTAGCTATTTCATGGAAGGAGGTTTGGTCCTGATATCTACACAGTTTGTTTAAACTTAGCAAGTATAGTTTGGTAACAGAATTACATGACATGGTAATGGAATTACCTATCTGAATATATATATATATACACATCAAATACCACCTCAGAATATTGTCCTTACACCTACGCACTCAGACGGTTGTACTTTTCTATTCTGATGCTACTTCAAGCTTAGCGATATGTGTGGTATAGAAAAGACAACAGATTTATATACATGTACTTAGGCCAACTCAACTCCATCTGAAAAAGCATTTCTAGACACATCTATCCATTTGTGGTTCAGAGAGTACCTTGATTACACAGGACCTGTCAAAAGAATCTATATCATCAATGTCAGACCATACAAACTTGCCAAATTCCACCTTTTTCAAGAACTTGATCGTGACTTTTGTTATCCTAAGTTTCAAGAACTTGCCCAACAAATTTCTTGGCATTCCTCTGGCAGGGTATCTGACAACCATTCCACTTGAAGTTAAGATCTTTAGGCAAGGCTTCTGTTTTGTTGCCAAGGTTGGCTCTAGCATCCCTTTTCACTGTCTGGTTTTCTTCACCATCATCATCAATGTGATCACCATCTTAACCATCATCAGCATCTGCACCTTTGAAGTGGTGCCTTTTGGGAGAAGAACTTGCATGGTGCTGCACATTGATGACAAATGGTACAACCACAGTGACTCTGTGTACCTGTTTTGTGTTAGGGATGGGAATTATCTCATTCCAAACATAATCTAGATTTCTGTTTTCTGACTCACTGTCAGCTTTGCTTATGTATTTTTCTGAATATTTTTGCATTGTTTGGCAGCAATGTAAATGAATTCATTGGATGTTGCTACCTCTGTTTTGACAGACATCACTTCTGAGGAGACCAATCTTTTTGTGGTTTCTCCAGTGCCATCTACTGTACCTTTGCCATGAGAAGTAGCAAAGAAATTCCATTCTATATTTCTGTTTAACAGTGTGATGCTTGAGAGAAGGAAGCTCTGTTTGAACTGATTTGATGGACCATCAGAAAAACAACTGCTTTCTGCAACTGACGACAGTTGAATCTAAATGTTGTAGGATGGCCCAGAGGAAGACATTAACTGCATATTTGTTGTGTTGCAGGTAATTAGAAACTATCACCATTGAATATGTTCCTCCCCTGCTCCCAGGCACATACAGTGAACAGAGTGACCTGGTTGTAAGCCCAATATGCAGATTGAATTTCATTCTGAGTTTTTGTGGTGAAATTTTCAGCAAAGTTAACCTGTACAACAACTTAGCAATAAAATCCTTCTATATAATTCTACTGAATATTTACTTGATGTGTTGGTGTGTCTACTCACCTTATGAGTGGATGTTGTGCAATTTAAACTTATGCAGATACAATTTGTCCTTTGTCTTAAAGAGAATGGCATGGAATCTTCTGAAAATAGGAAACTGTTGCTGCCCTCTATTATGGACACTGAAGTTAAACTAAAACAATGCCTTAATTATCTTAATAATTCCAAACTTCACCCTCTTCTCTGAGAGTGGAGAAAACTCAACACTCTGAAGGTAAGTCCTCTGTCCAACACCCCAGCGATTGGGAACTGGGTGTGGTAAAGACCCTCGAGCTCCACTAGTAGAAGTAAGAATGGAACATAAGCGTTGGGGAGTCCTGAGGAACAGGTCTTCGGAGAGTGCAACAGGTGAACCGTGTTCCCTAATTTTTAAAAGCAAACTGATCTTAACTGATTCCACTCTAAGATCAGCGGAGACCGGCAAAATCCCCTTTATCTTTACTCTTGATAGTCCATGAGTAGCGGCCCATTAAAAATATTGTAATATGATATCACCATCCAGAATTGTGTCTAGATGGAGTTATGGAACACCTCATCTCGACAGAGCCCATTGCAACCAGGAACCGATATAAAGGTTGCTAGTGTGTAATTTAAATACAAGCATACCCAACTGGGTAACACTCACCACTGAGTGGGATCCCCCCCAAAAAAAAAATCAATAGGGACTCTAGAAGAGAAAGGAACAATAACTGTAAGTCAGATAACATGTTACTGACCACCCTGTTAAAATCTAGTAGAGGTAGTCAACACAGCCACAGAGGGAAGATGAAGTCCCTTCAAAGAGGAAACTGCCAGATCGTGAAGGTAATGAGATATAAACGTGTCGGGAGAAGTCCACCTACCGGCCTACAATATATCTCCTGAGAAGAAGGAGGCCTTGAGACATGAAGGGATGAACATGCAGAAGTACAAGTGGAAGTAGAATAGGGTCGATCAGTCAAAGATGATAAAGAAGATTGCAAATGTGCTATCAACTCTAGCTTCTAAAGATTTTGAAATTCCAGCAAATAAATAAGGCTGAAGAAAAGGCACTTCATGTAAATCTTGAAAGGCAGAAGTAGGTAAATGAATACCCTCCAAAATGCATAACGACTCAACAAGTCCCAGCAACAGACCAACCATGACAATAGCTATTAGTGTCAGCGGAGGTATGTATGTTTTGGAAATCGATGTTTAACTGTGTTTTTTAAAATTTACTTTTAAATTAAAAATTGAGTAATGTATAGTAATAAAATTT